GAGAGAGAGAGAGAGAGAGAGAGAGAGAGAGAGAGAGAGAGAGAGAGAGAGAGAGAGAGATTCACGACAGGGTGCTTCACAACCAGGCGCACGGAGCGCTTCACGACAACAGCAGAAGCACGACAACACCAAATACAATGGACCGAGGGCGCTGCACGACAACGGCCAGTCCAACGGGAAAGTTGGGTGGGCCCGACGTCGCGAACTCCGGTGGTACCCCACGGCACTCGGCGCGTCTATCTGAGCCGTCGGTCCGGACCGACAGCCTGGATCTCGGCGCGATAAGATCTTAAGACCGCATCTATCCAGGCCGTTGGTCTGGTAGGACCCGACGGCCCAGATGGCATGGTTCGGTCGATCTGGCCGTGGGTCGATCTGGGCCGTGGGCCGGTAGTACTGACGACGGCCCGGATTTCAGATTTGTCACGTTAGCGATTTTAATAGTGTAGGGATAGTCATACTTGAACACGACGAGCAGCACAGACCATCACTGGAGAGGATGTCATTGAACAGGCCAGATGCCCATCTGGAAGTCCCCGTATTCATTATGCTAAGGGTGAATAATACTGTATATCTTGTATAGTCATATACTCGAACACGACGAACAGGACAGACCATCATTGGACAGGCTGTCATTGAACAGCCCAGATGGCCATATCTGGAAGTCCAGATTGTATTCATGTTGCAAAGGCAAAGTGGAAACGGACATCAGTAGTCATAACTTTGAAAATTGTTAACTGACCTCGCATGTCTGTCTCTCTCGATCTGGATTCATACTGCAAAACCACGCTGCATCTGAAGGGCGGTCGGCCCAGCGAGGTAACCGCCTCCACTTTGCACAAGCATCACACTGCACCCAAAGTTCTAAGCTCTCATCAGAGGAAAATTGATCAATATCGATCCTGCTGCCCGCCATCGATTCTCTCATGCGTGACTGGGCCTGGTCACTGACCACACCTGGCATTCCCTCTGGCTCTCTTTCGTCACCAGAACTAGAACTACTTGATGACAGCGAGGAAGAACTTCCAGATGACATCTCATACGGATCACTGTCCAGGTTCGTTTCCTGATGATGCGTCTTCAATCGTTTGGGAGGAGCTAATGACGGTTGTAATGTTGCTGCCCTTCGCAAAGAGGCAGTCATCTGCACATTCAAATAAGTCTTCACAGCAGACGTAGACAACCTTGTCACGGGCGCCCTGCCACTGATACCCGTAACGATTGGTGAAGCCATGTCACATGAAACCCCTGGTGAAAGTTGTGGAGGCCAATCCACGAAGTTCTCTCCACCTGATGGCCGAGGGCTGCCTGCTGCATGGCGGGTCTGCATCTTGCTGCATCGCAATCCCCTTCCGCTGGTATCAATCGTCGTGCGACAGTGCTTTAAGTAACTCCCCTGCAGAAGGCTACAATCAAACAGATCCCCAAAGCATGTGCAAGTGGAAAGTTAGCAGCTCACACAGAGCAGTTAGCCCTGAAGTCTCTCCACAGGCAAAGCACACTGCATCAAACAAAACAGACAACTGGACCCAGCAGTTGACCTGTGGGCAAGCGTCTGCAGCTGGAAAGCAAAGTGATACCAGTGGTGGGATGAAAAGAGCAGACAGCATGCTATAAAAGCTGCAATGCAGCCAGAAGATTCCACAAGGCTACATGCACCAACCCCTACCGATGACATAAAATCAACAGTTTGCACGTCTTCCTGTAATGCAGACAGGATTGCCAGGATGGGAACCAAACCCAAACCCTCTGCCCAGGAATCGTACTTGTGTATTGGCTAAAAGCGTACCATGTAAATGTGCCAGGGACAATTCATGGCCTGAACTCCCTCCCCATTGTAAAGGGCATAGAATGAGCCGTCCGAACGCCCACATCCAACAGGTACAGGAGAGGCATCTCAGGGAGACTTCCAGGACCAGAGCCTCCGCACAGAAACTGTATATGCTTACCAGACATCTCGGCCCTCGTGCTGGAGGTGCATACTGTTTACGCACAGTCTACTAAAAGCCCTGGCGAGGGGCCCACTCCTTTGGCCCACACCATGCAAGTCCATAAATGACCACACTACCGAATCACCCCTTCTGCCGTAACATGTACACTTTCAGTTGACAGATATGGGACGCCAATGTAAGCTCACTGCTGTTAACATCAGATGAGTCATTCTGCGCGCCACGGCAGTTGGCAAACTATACCCACAACATTCATCTGGGACCACTCCATCATTCATGCCTGAATGCCCACTGATGCGGCCCTTCGTGTCAGAGAGTGCACATACACTAAGCACCTACACGTGTAATACAAAGACTGCCATCCATCACGATGTGAACCCACGATCTGTATCGCAACGGCTACCTGTGTGTATCGTTCATCGACAATTCTTTAACATGAAAAAAGCACTGGCATCTCTCTGTTAATTATGTACTCAAGAGTCAAAACACTAAGCCAAGTGCAAGAACTGCCAGTTCCGGGTAAGTGGACTGCACCATCAACACATCATTTTTTCCTGTTTTCTAAGCTTTCTTTAAACTGGATCATTTCTCGATTTATGCAAGTCATCCTTGCACAGGGGCCGCACTACCATCTTTCCCCGAACACAACATACAGCTACTTTACCTGCATTTGGGTCAACTTCCAGTCTAGATAGAGGGATGATAAACCATGTGTTCTATTAGGGAGAAGACAGTTATCTTCTCTATATCTTTCCAATTTGGCTTGATGTCCCGAAGGACACATATCATTCATTTCTAACACAAGTTGCCAGCTAACCATGAGAAGCAGAACATAAACCGGAGAAGGAAAGCCACAACACCCGCAGCCCTCCATCAGCAACCCTCGTATGCCATGCTTCCCAGATAGGTTAGCATCCTGTTGTTGTCCAGCAAATTGTCAAAGGGCTTGGGATGACGATTGTTACACGGCTTGGGGGCGGAAATTGCCAACATCCACCCCAAGACCTTTTTGGTCAACGCACTTAACACTTGCTACATCACATCAAACAGTCAAAAAGTGCTGCCACACGATTCAGAGGCAGTCCATTCAACGTACAATAGAATGCACCCGAACTGACTAATGAGAGATAGAACAGGTGTATCGTATCTGCTCAGCATCCTCACACAACCACAGCAATCTCAGTGCCATTAAAGTTGATTAAACATACAAGCAGTTCACATGGGGCAGATGGCCTAGCTCAGTTGGTAGAGTATGTAAGCAGTATTCAGGAGGTCGTGGGTTCAATTCCCCATGGCATCCATTCGGCTCCCCACAGCCCCTGAGGCTGACTTGGGGTCACCATCTGAGATAGCCGATTCGCCCCGCCCTACCTTCTTCCCCCAAACATAACGCATATGCGCTGTATTCGAGTTTCGAAATTTGAAAAAAAATAGAACGCATATGCGTTCTCTTCGAAATTTAGGGGTATTCGAACAGAACACATATGCGCTGTATTCGAATAGAACGCACCCTATGCATTATATTCGTTTACAATGCATATGCATTATGTTCGGGGGAAGAAGCTAGTGGGTCGTGGTAGGGGAGTTATGCCCCCTTCCATCCGCACTGGGGATCAGATTAAACCCTGAGGGGATAGGTAGGCTGGGATGGACTAGAGGCGGACCAATGCCTAGATGCGGACCTTTGCTCTGAGGAATGTGGGTTGCTAGTGGGAGGGGGGGGGGGGGGGGGGNCACACACACACACACACACACACACACAACACACACACACACACACACACACACACACTGCCTCGCTGTCCTCCTCCTCCTACACACACTCCTCGTCATCGTTGCTGTCCTCCTCCTCCTCGTCAACCCCGCCGTCCTTTTCTTTCTCCCTGTCCTCCTCCTCGTCGTTGTCTACTCGGCCATCCTTTCTCGTCGTTGTACTTCTCCTCCTCCTCCTCCTTGATCGTGTCAACTCCACCCTGTTTTCTTGTCGTCGTCATCGTCGCAATCCTCCTCCTCCTCGTGTTTACTTTGTCCTGCTTTCCCGTCGTCAGCGTCATCGTCCTCCTCCTCCCTCGTCCTCATCAACTCTTCCCTCTTTTCTCTCTCCCTCCCCTGCTCGTCCTCCTCGTCCTCCTCCTCATCAACTCCAGCCTCGTCTGTCTCCCCCTTCCTCCTCTCCTTGTTGTCCTCCTCCTCCTCTCCTTGTCTTCCTCCTCCTCATCTCCTCCCCCTCCTCCTCCTCCTCCTTTTCGGTTTATGTATTTTTTTATTTGGTCCATTTCTCGATTAATGCGTGCCATCTTGGCGCAGGGGCCATGCTAATCTTTCCCTTGGGACATTCGTTAAAATTGGAAGGAAGAGATTAGCATGGCCCCTGCACACAGATGACACTCATAAATCGAGAAACGAGGAGGACGAGGAGGATGAAAAAGAATATGAGGCCCGACTTGAGAAGGAGGAGGAGGAGGAGGGGGGGGGGAAGCACGAGGAGAACTAGAGGACGACGAGATAGGAGGGGGAGTACATGACGAGGAGGAGTAAGGAGTAGAGGCGGTGTTTTTTTTTCTCGAAACGAGCGAGCGAGCGAGCGAGCGAGCGAGGGAGAGAGAGAGAGAGAGAGAGAGAGAGAGGGGGGGGGGGGGGGGGGGGGGGAGGGGAAGCACGAGGGGAACCAGACATGGTGTGAGATCTTTCCTATACCCAACTATACACATCTCCCCTGCATTGAAATATATGTATCTTCCACATAAATCCAAATGCATACAAAAATCCAGGAGAAACGACACCATTTCTATGGTGGGCCTTCGCCCGGGCCAGAAGGGGGGTCACCCGGCAAAACCAGACGGGTCAAAAAAGAGGCAAGGTTCCCCCCCAAAAAAAACGACTTCAGGGCAGGACTGCCCTTGGCCTAAGCAGTCAGAATCCGGTCTTAACTTTGATTTTGGTGATGGGTCATCCAGGGGGGCTTGGGGGGTATAGACATTGACTAAAGGGGTTTTAAAGGGTTCATTTCGACTCATGTTTTGTCGTTCATTTTTATCCTAAAATTAACCAGGAATTCCGAGGTGTCCCTCAGCCAAACGTTGTTTGTATTGCAATTTTACACAAGTTTTTTTTTCGGATTTTTTTCAGTTTCTTTTCTCTATTTTTTATGAGGTGGGATCGCCCTGGGACCCTGCCCTGACCCTGCCCGCCCCGGGCCGCTCAGGGACCAGCACAGACCATTTCTTGTTCTTCTTTCCCACACAACACACTTGCCCAATCCGGTTGATCGTCGCCTGCAATCAAAAGTTTGGAAGGAAAGGACAACACGACCAAGGAAATAGAAACAGAGAAGCAAAGGAGGGGAGGGGAGGGGAGGGGAGGGTGTGCCTGGTACTAACAGCACAGAGGGTACAGATTGAACCTCCTAGCCCCACCACCACCATTTCAGAAAAAGAAACGTACAGACTACTTTTTGCTGAAGACGGAAGCTTACATGAGATAATCGACAGCATCACGTGCAAGGCAACGCAAGAGAATGGAGGCCTCCATACCGCTTTCTAGGTAGCTCGTAGAACCCAACTTTTCCGTTGCGGTAGTTGCACCAATGCACATGGACCCCTTGGGGAGGCGTAGCAAAGGTTCCCTGAGTTTTCAGGACAAGTGATAGTGCTGCATCACAAGAATTTGCAGATGTGCACAAACACGTGATCAGAGGGGAATCGCACATGCATTAGGACAGTTTCAATGCCCAGATTCTGGGTTTCCTACACATGCCAGGGTTTGTCCACAGCTCAAACAGAGATGCCACGGTCATTCCCTGCTGTATCTGATTGGGGGAGAGGGGGGGCGCGGGCAGTGCAGTAAGAATGATGTTTCGCTGCAACCAGATGCCTTGTGAAGATAGGTGTTCCAGCAGGACTGCCAAGGTTCAGTCCCATCGATTAGGCAAGCTGCTAAACATGCCAGGGTTTGTCCACAGGTCCAACGGATATGCCATCGTCATTCCCTGTTGTATTTGATTGGGGAAAGAGGAGGAGGGAGGGAGGGGGGAGGGGGGGACACGCAGTGGAGTAAGAATGATGTTTCCACAGCAACCAGATGCATTGTGACGAAAAGTATTCCAGAAGAGCTGCCAAGGTTCAGTTGCACCGATTATGCAAGCTGCTAAACATGCCAGGGTTTGTCCACAGCCGCAACAGATAGGCCATTGTCATTCCCTGTTGTATTTGATTGAGGAAGAGGGGGGGGGGGGGGGGGGGGGGGGGGGGGGGCGGTGGAGTAAGAATGATATTTCCACTGCAACCAGAGGGGGCGTGCGGTGGAGTAAGAATGATGTGTCCACTGCAACCAGATGCCTTGCGAAGAAAGGTGGTCCAGAAAAACTGCCAAGGTTCAGTCGCATCGATTAGGCAAGCTGCCTGAACTTCATTTGGGCCGCACACTACCATTCACAAGCAGTTCATCATGGAATCACTAATTTCAATACAAACCCACTGATCCTCAATTTCAAAATGAATCCAACAAACACTTCTCCACGCAATTATCAATTCCAATTTTCAATAGAAAACCCACAAACTCCTTCCTCCCCGAGTCTAAATCCCACTACAGGAAGCCCCACTGTTGAAATGTTAATTGAACTTCATCTCGGAAAGCATGAACCTGGTCATAATCATGGTCATAGTGAGGTCTCCCCGAGCTTGTGCTTTGTTACCATAAACATAGGATTAGTGGGTTCTGGCCCTCACGGACAGACCCGACTGGAGTATGTCTACATATTTGCTCGAGTCACAGTGAGAGGGTGAACATCAAGTTCACATATAGCATTGGACTCCAAATGCTCGTCTAGTAGTAGACAGAGCTCAGTAGCGCCTGCCCCTTTGTCTATCTGACCCACGCTGGTTTATGCTGTGAACGGAAAAAATATGTGAGAGACTTGCCTAAACCCTGATGGCAAACACACACCCATTTGAAGATTACCAGAAGCACCACAAAGAACAGGAATACCACCAGAGAAACATGAAATCTTGAAGGATTGCGCACTGGTGACTTGACACCAGATTTGAGATACGCTCAACCGTGTGGCTGAGCGGTACACAGATGTACCTGTTGACAAACAGATCATACGTCAAGTACCCTGATGCAGAGTAGTCACAACGACGGCCGGCTCCCTTGCTTGGTCGGGTGCCGACCAGCCCTGTTCCACCAACAGGCACCTACCAGTCGGCGATCAGTCGGAACCCGCAAAAAAAAAAAAATATATATATATATATATTGCAGGGCCCATCACCCCCAATAACCCCACCAACACCCTCATACCCTCCCCAAACACCCCCATACACCACCCCCAACACCCTCATACCCTCCCCAAACACCCCCATACACCACCCCAAACACCCCCATAACCCCCTGTACTCCCCCCATCCCCAAAAGTTTCTCAGCGGATTTGGGCTGTACTCAGCAAGCGCAGTACAGCCCTTAACTCAGATTTGAAGCAGAAAAAGCCGATCGCCCTACTGGTTGGCTGCCAAACGGTTGGCAGTCGGCCTTGGCGGTCGGCTCGTATGCAACCCTGCCCTGATGGATACCATAATGATTGGGAGAGACCAAACCCCTTTTCGAAAGAAAACAATAAAAAGAAACACGAAAAACGAGAGATCAAAAGCAATCGTAAGGGAGCACAAGATAAAAAGTTCAGGACCTTCAGGTGTTCCTTTGCGGTGAGATTGAAATAGGAAGCTGACGGTCCCCAGAATAGCATGGAGTTAACTTAGTTAAGGCCATAAGGCAAGAACATTACCAGGAAGAAAGAGTTGAACGTACAGTCATTATAGCTGTATTTGGGGCAACTTTCTACTGGGATAATTGCCTTTACGTTCTATTTCAGGGAAGACAATAGATGTGATTCCTATGAATGCTAGTCCCTGCAGAACCTCAAATTCACTGAAGTCAGACAGCAGGCAGCGTGCTCAATTTGATATTGTACGTCGAGATGAAGCTGTGAAAGACCACAGAAGTCTGAGCACGCAAACTGGTTCAGAGTGTGCTAATCTGAGGGATGCGATTGCAATAAGCTCGTTACTTTTCAGGATCTTCCAGTTCACACAGCCATTTTAAAGTGTTGAAGCAGTGCATACGCAATTCTCCTGGTAATGACTGTGCTGAAGGACTGGGAAAGACAACATCCCAGCCACGACCTTCTCACCTGTCACAGTTTTTCCGAGACCTGGCTCATCACAGAACAAGCCTCCGCGAAAATCGCAAATGGATGATGGAGCTTCTGATGAAAATGCCCCTGAGACAACATTAATGTTATACCTTTTTCCATCTTCTGACTGCAAAAGCCATTCCAATTTCCAGCTGTGTCAATAGGATAGAATAGGACCTGGGAGCCTCTGCAAACAGGAAACAACCCATAGGAATTGGAGGTGCATTTCAATAGGACTTGCGACTTAGATCTTTCCAAAACCACATGAAAAATTGCAAGCCACTTCATATGAAAAGCAAGATGACACACTTGGCTGAGATACCATCAGAAATGCAAAGTCCGAGTACAATCAACATGAGAAAAGAGAAAGAGAAACAATACCACACAGCATAAGATTGAAATCACACACAGAGCAACCTGAAAATGCAGACAATGTCCCTTATATCTGATCTCTCTCACTGCACGGAGGGGTCCAAACTCAGAAGAAATCTCCCGACTACCAATCACAGACAGACAAGATGCAAGGCCGGTGGAGGGAAGGAGGAGGAAAAAGAGGAATCACTGTGTGGCAATAATAATAACCTCTCATCCACCTCACTCTCCACTACGCTTCCAACAATGAGTCCTAGGCTCAACCCACGGAGTTTTGCTCCCGCTACAAAAGGGGTGGGTGCAATCCATCCGTCCGTCCCTCCATCCATCTATCCATCCTTCCCTCCCTCCATACCTCCATACATCCATTCCTCCCACCCTCCATGATGCATGCTCACCAGAAGATGGGTGATACACGAATTTGAAGAAGCACCGACATGACGAGTTCTTCCCTGTAGTTTTGTGCGCCATATTTTGTCTTTTGTGCATGTTCAGAGGCCCAGTAGTTGTAGGCTAGGTCTAGGCGGGTACCAGTCCAAGTAGTCTGAGTCTAGGGCCTGTACAGGAAATATCAAAGTCTACAATGATGTTTCCCCCCGAAAGGGAGGAGGTACCGGTGGCTTGGAGGCCGCGCGGCCTGGAAGTCACTGCCCAAGAGGCAAGCAGGCCGCTATATGTCCTGGAGGAGCAAAGAGCTCCTACTCATTCTACGGTGTGCAAGTTTGGTGACACACTGCTTGGAGCAGCGCTGGCTGGAGTACCACTGCTGGGGAAGGAGCAGCACCCAGCTCCCCACCTTGGCTATGGTGGAGGAGCTCGGGCTGAGGGAGGGGGAAGACGAGGACTAGGAAGGAAGAGTGCCAGGCTTCGGTTGACGCCATCTTCATCACCTTGGTAGGCGCTGCATCTGGAAGGCCCCAGTTGGGGTAGAGCTACACCAAGAAGGTTTGAGGCAGAGTCAGGCATGGCGGCCTGAGCCAGAGCAGCCATAGCTGCTTTGAGTTTCTTTTGCACATCAGGGCAAGGCCCTAGCAGTCCGCCATAGCCTCGGCCTTCAGGAAGATGAAGGAGAAGGGTGGCCATTGCTATGGTGGACCTCATGTTGTACCTGCAGTAGAAGAGGGATTCGGACTTTGATTCCGGTTCAGCCACTCAACATTATTATTATTGTTTATTGCCAAGTTCATTCATTTCTTTTTGCAATTGGATGTAACTGTGCTTTGTCATGAATTTGTACTTCGAAATTGGCCAGGATCTCAACAATGAAGACAGATAAACACAAAAGACCCAGGACGGCACCCACTGCCCAAACCCATGCCAAACCCACACCCAACTGGGCGCTGTTACCATGCTCATGGCAGAAAATCCTCAGGCCAACCGTGGTCACTCTTCTACTTGGCACCATTATCTACACTCCTGGCGGAAGTTCTTAGACAGTCGCTCATCACTAGCGAAGCAGGCCAGCCATGGTCACTTTTCTCCTCCTTCGATAGGCGATGGCTATCCTTGGCCGAGAAAGGGGTGTGGAAACTGGAGCATTTCTGGAACAAAGAAAAGGACACTTGGAAATCTTGACCATAAACTAAGAGAACCACTCAAAGGATGCCTCATGCAAAAAGATAACTCCTAGCTATGTATTGTGGAGAGCATACGTCCAGCATGGGAAGGGCTACTGAAAGAAGACTTACATTGAGATCAGGAGACCGGGGTCTCTTCGTTACTAACGAGATTCCAGCAGAGTGTTTCACGTCGTCAAAAGAACACCAAGATGGATGGTATCAATCGCAATTCCTGCCATACCAGCCCGCACCAGGAATGGGAGGAAATTCAACCAGAGACTTTCCCCCTCTGGAAAGTTAGGGTCACAAACTCCCAACCATGGACTCTCTTTGACAAAACTGTGTATGAACTGGAATTCGACCAGATGGAATGGGGTTGGGCAAAAAAGAACCACAGAAAGAACCTATCAATTGCAGAATACTCCGCCATGTTCGGATATGGACTGGGGCCCTAAGACGGCACTCTTACAGATAAACCAGGATGAACCTGTACAGATTCCATGGACCAAATACGAAAAGGCTGACCCGACAAAAATCCGCAGCCTTCAATGGCTGACCACATATATATTGCACATGGTTAACCACTGGTTTCACGAACACACATCTTCAGACACCAGCAGCTCTCCACTCTAAAAAATGTGCTTGGAAGATATAAGAAGAGAACTCGTCCATCCTTCGGGACATCCGTTAAAATTGGAACGATACAGAGATGATTAGCATGACCCCTGCACAAGGAAAAGAAAAAGAAGAGAACTCATCCCACTGCCTGATTTCAAGCACAGCTGCTGCCTGGTTCTGGAACAGAGCTTCCAGGTCATGGTTTTCCTTTTTCACTATCTCCCCCCCCCCCCCTACTTTCCCCCTTAAATCTCTATTATTAGTCAAAGAATCCACTCCAACCTGCCAGGGGCATGAAGATCTGGTATCTGGTGCTCACAAAGGTCACTCTTTGCACCACTTGGAAGAGGAGACGCACGCTGAGAATAGATGGCCAACAAAACCAACAAGGAGGCACCCTGGTCTCAGCTGATTGATATGATGGGGACGGAGATAAGATGGAGACGGCCAAAAGGTTAAGAACACCAGGACAACTAATCCAGAGTGGTTCAGGGGTAAGGAGACGTTCACACCAGGCAGAGTAGCGACAATCAGCCAGAACAGGTGAAGAACTTAAGAAGGGACCAATGGGGGATCACCTGAGGAAAGTCGTCGGCCAACCTCATATTCAGCAGAAATTCTTGCAAGGGATGGGCATCCAACTGCCTCGGGCTGGTCGGGGGGGAGAGGAATCTCAGGAGGAATGGCAAGCTGACAGTCAATCCTCCATAATCTGGAGTAATCAACGGTGTTCAGGGGTTCTTCGGCTAAACCGCAGGACGAGTATGTGTTCTTTGAGTTTGACTCAGTCTCATGTAGCATATATCGTCAAACAGAACTGCCCGGTAAACCATAGGCAGAGAGGGAGAAGAGGACCACACGGAGCCTGAACCCTCTTCACTTGCTGGGTTAACCAGACTGATGTTCCCGAGAGTGAACAAGGATCCAGGACCATAAGGGCCTGATTTAGAACAAAAACAAGAGAAAGAAGAGTAGAGACTGCTGACGAACAAAGACAGAGCGAACCACAGGATCAGATCCACCCACAAGCTTCTTTGTCGAGAGGCACCTAGTTTTCTAGCATGGCGTGCCAGAGGACATTCCTTGAAGGCGGTTTGAGGGTGCTGGAGGTCTAAACCACCGGTCCCCCTGACGTCAGAAACCTTGGGGGTACCAGTAGCGCCGTTTCACGACGGGTACCGGTAGTATAGAGTGGAAAACCGGGCGGGCCTCAAAAATGGAATTTGCGGCAAAAATTGGAAATGCACCAAATCGGTGCGGCGAATATTTCACGCGCAAAATTATTTTTGCAAAGCTTAAGGTCTCGGTGAGCCCTACCGGGCCTTGTTTTCAGCAATATCGGCCGCCCTAAGTGAAGGCAGGCCTGACAGGGGCCTCAATGCCATCGCTGTGAAGAACGCAGAGCCCCTACCGCGCATCGATGACTTG